TATTCTTCTTTAAACGACAATTTAATCTCTCTTGTACACTCTTTTATAATTGTATCCGTATAGTAACTTCCGGTTGCGCGTACGACTTGGTTTATTTAGGCGACATAATACAAATTTCAAATATCGTCTCTTCGAGTTATACATAACCTTAAACAGATACAAGCTGGCAGGGAACGTTACGTCAGTCGGTCATTAGTCAATGTGACAGGTAGAACTTTAATCCCAACGAAAAATAATATCCATCAAAGATTACGTGAAAAGCAGTCGAATCGTAACGTCAAGCCTCTTCTGATCCGTATAGATCCACTTTCGATTACCTGGAAATAAAATATTGTCTTCGTGTTGTTATAAAAAGACACGAAATCGATCGGTGACGTTCCACGAAGTGATCTCACACCGATGATAAGGCCGAGTGACTTATCTGTGACAAACAACGTAAAAGCGGTTGGCTTCAGCTTCCTCGATCCTGCTACCGGGAAAAAGACGATAAGCAATTTTCGCTTATCGAAAAAAAAAAAATTCGCTCATCGCATACGTCAGATTCGTCGATTTTGATTTTTTTTATTTGTTAAAAAAAATATCGATTCAAAAATCTTTTTTATTAATTTCGAGCGTAATCAAGACTAGTGAAATTGGGGTCGTGCAACTTTTTTTTGGTCACCATTTAAATTGTTATCTCATAATGTAATACGGGTTGTCGTGAGTCACTGATCGTATTTGCAAAAGGGGGTCTTGCTGTGTCCAATTACCGTATCGCGTTAATAGAAGCGTTACCGTAAATGGCTGAGAACGAGTCAGGCATAATGTTAATGCTGGGATCGCTAGTATAAAATAATAATTAATTGCCAATAATTATACTTGTCAATAATTGGCTCTGCGCGACGGTTCGTTACGAATCGATGTGAAAATTGCATATTGTATAACATATGGCGAACGAGCGCGCGACGTGGCGATCGGGCAATACGAAACGATCCTTCGAAACGAGCAGCCGCCGCTCGCTTCGCGCAAAGACGCATCCTTATATGGGCGAATGTCCTTAACCCGCTTGGCGAGCGCCGCGACGCCTTGCCCGGCGTATCGGGCAAATAACGAGCGTGTAAAAGTGCCGGGTAGCATGAGTGCCTTTTATGGCTGGCCCATATTCTTGATTCGACCTTTCTTCTTGGGTTTTGAGAAAAGAAAAAAAAAAGATTACGAAACATTGCGAAGGATTCGAAACTGCTCGCTGCGATTGGTCCATAGGGATGATAAGTTGTGCAAAACAATAATCTATGGTTGGACCCAGTGATTTTTTCTGGAAATTTTTTTTTACGTATTATTTCACTTTTTTAATGGGCTCTATGTAAAATTTTCTTTTGTTATTTTTTTGAAAATTTTAACACGTGGTTCAATGCTTCTTATTTTTATTGATAATGCACTGATGTGACACATATACAGTTATTTGGAAAACAAATTTTCGGCCTTTTTACAATGTCTGTCTTATCTGACTTCCGGTACCATTCTTCTTCCGGTTTGACGTTCTGTCGTAAGACGTATATTGATAAGAGCTTTATTTTTCTATTGTTCTTCGTCTTGCTTTATTTTCTTTACACCGTATACTTCACCGCGGAAGATTTTTTAGTCTCTCACGAGAAAAGCCTTGTCCCTCGGTTGGCAAGATTGCAGGTAGCATTAGTTTTCAAGTACACGTTAAGACGCGGAGACATTGAACGTTGTATCTTGCATCAGATGTATTTCTGTATGTCCCGAGCGGGACATTGAGACGTCTTTGGTTATAAAAGTGTAAAATTACGATACCTGGTATAGATTTTTCGGAAGTAGGTTGGCCATGGATTCTATTTATATTTAGATTGTTTTATGGGGCTGGTCGGGGACCGTTGAGATTTTAGGATCCAATAAGGCCAAACGAGCCGAAAGAAGAAATCCGGTCTACGATCTTGAGTCAGTCAAGAGCGTAACAGTCTAGAAATCTGAGTACAGCTTGAAGTCATAATAAGGACTAGTCCATTTTGGGTCCGCTTGGAAGGAAATGGGACTATCGTCCCATTAGGGCAATGGGTCCCAAGGTTACGTGCATCTGAGAAACAGGCCGTCGCCGTGGCGAGACTTAGATACGTAAGCTTGGCAGGAATGTTGGACAGGTCGACGACACCCGACATCTGGGACCGGTTTCGGGGACCTTCGGCAACTCGTATTTAAAAAAAAAAAATGAACAAAACGAAAAATCCCTCGCTAGATTAAAATGGCAGACTTATTCTCGTGCCTTAAAAAAATCCGTGCATTTTCACGGACGATCTGTGGAAAGTTTGTTTATTCTCGATTAAACCACGTGGTTACCTTTTTTTGTATCTTCTATGAAAATCCAACCGGAAGTCCACCACTTTGACATTCCCCGCCAGAGGGTAAACCAACTCAAGCACCAGGGTAACCACTTCATCCTGAATTCCTTCCACCTCGGGGATCGTCTCAATCAAGCTTAATTGCCCACTCGAGCGAATGTAAACGGATCGATGAGCTTGCTCTGGGTGCGATCAGGACACTAGATAGGGAAAGTGATCTCGAGCTGACCCAGTTCTTTGATTTGGTCAATATGAAAATTCACTCTTGACGCATCCTCTGTCTTATGGAATGTCAAAGGATGACAGTGATACAGGGAATCGAGTATTTCTAGAGTGACGAATACACGAGGGAACGTACCTGGGGAAAGTAAGTGGATGATTCACCGTCCAGGAAGCCAGGAAGCAGGTACGATGACGATCGCTTGACCTCACGTGCTGGGAAAAAAAAATTTCTATGAAAGCGCAGCATCAACATGTACCGAGTATACCTATATATGTTACGTATACGGTGAGAATTTAGTAGTGATTTTTTTTGTTATTACCGACTTTTAACCTTAAATCATTTTTTTGACTTGCCATGTTCGCTCTTTTCTAACCCAACATAACCTAACCCAACCTTCACGTGTAGTTCCGTGCGCTTGAAACTGTTTACGCGTGTGACAGGCATTTCTTTTTTCTATGTATGACTTCAATCGAAAATAATGCAGGCGGTTTCCTTATCGTTAGATTTTTGGGCGTAGGTGGCGCCCTCACGCAAACTGGCGGCAATTTTAAACGGGACCGTTACATTGAACCCTTCTAATGTATCTCGTATGTAAAACGCATTGATGGCGGTACCGCCATTAAATCCAGACGACGATAAAAGGTTAAATAATCAGACCGCCTTACAGTCTGTCACCTGATAAAATATTTTACGTTGCGCGACAGCGATTCCTCGTTCGAAATAATTCTAGCAACGAGCGTGCGCCGCCGTATTCTATTACCCGGGTAAATTGGTTCGACCAATCAGATTAATTGATGAGGCGCGTTGTTATACGCGTAAATCAATGCATTTGTCACATCCAATTAATCCACCCGTTATATCCTCGACAGTCGCCATCTTTTCTCGCAACGTACTCGAAATGCGCTGTCTTGTCACTTCGGATAGAGAAACTCGAAAAATTTGCCGATAATTAAATTTAATATAATTTAAAAAAAAATGGAAAAAAAAGATTTCCGCCATCTTTAATACACTTTTGAGAACCACTGCCCGCGAGCTTTTAAAAGATGACCGATCGATTCTGTCTACCGCAGTCTCGGGTTCCCTTGCACTTATTCCCTCCGTGCCATTACAGCTGTTTCCGCCATTTTTTTTCTCCTTTTTTTTCCCCCCCGCAAACGGTGACTATAAATTCCCATGGTCACTTGCGTCTGCCGTCAAGGAATTTCAGGATGTACGGGGTGCCTAAGTGTCACTGGGATAGCCTTAAAGTAACGTTCACAGACATACGAGTACCAGCCGCGAATAGTTGTCCTATTAGTTTGCCAAACGAAAGCCCAGAGGCGATCCTCGGCGTCCTCTAGCTCTCTCTGGATTCGTATAAACTCGGCCACACCCGGTCCACAGTCCCAGAGAGCAGCTAGCGTTTCATTCATGCTGTGAATTCAAATGTGAATTATTTCGAGGCGACCGAGACCAGCAGCATTTGCCGCCGTCAAGGTCCTTCAGCGGCAGACAATGACTACAGTATTACACACTGCGTATATCTATGTATATGCATAACGTTAGGATTTTCCATTTGGACGAAAAAAGAGAGAACGCGGCATAATGAGAATTAAAAATTTAAGGCCTGATTCATAGTATCATAAAGAGCCAGCAAACGATACGAGAATCCGTGTAACGTCAGGCACAAAGGGAGATTACACGATTTACGTAGTGCGTCTGCCCGTAGTGACGTCACATATCCGACATTCCAATAAAGCTTCACACACAGTCGAGCGTCTGCGCCCGAATTATGCACCATAAAATTCTCCGAATGCATTATGGTGTATTGTGAACCCCCCTTTAAGTAACAGAGTCACCATATTGCCATATAGTAACGTACCGATTATTATTTTCTTAGCTATTCACCGCGACGATGTTGTGTCTTCGATTCTGCCCTGACGGCGGGTTCTATAGGTACAAAAATCGAGGTGCGTGAACGAGGCTTTAACAAAGTAAACAGTATGTTTCGTTGATGGCAAACAAGTCGTTACTTTGAAATTAAATAATTTTGATTCTTAAAAAAAAAAAACATTCTTCCCGTCTCCCCTTCAATCCTCGACACCCTTACCGATCTGAATTTCTGAAGTCACAAGCCTAAAATTGGGCCCTCGATCGAAGTCCCCAAAATTCGCCCACCGTATAGCCAAAGACTCGTTCCTCGGCTGTTTAATTGTGAATTAATTTGGTCCACGCGGTATGTTATTTCAGGCGCCAATCCCGGCAAATAAACCTGATAATGTGCAGCCGAGGGACTTAAGGCGTCTACATTCCTTATTATAAATATGTACCGCGCGGGGCCCCGCGTTTGACTTTATATGAACCGAGCCTAAGGGACAAAGCTCCCGTTGTTTTACATTGGTCAGCGCGTGCCCGCGCGACAATAACAATAATTAAAATCGATCATTTTATCATTGCAGACGTACTCCGGTCTCTTCTGCGTCGTTGTAAATCCATACAAGAGATTGCCGATCTACACAGAAAAGATTATGGAGAGGTATAAGGGCATAAAGAGGCACGAGGTACCCCCGCACGTATTCGCCATCACGGACACTGCCTACCGTTCTATGTTACAAGGTGAGTCCCTTACGTGATACCGAGGATTGTTAATATATAAATAATAGATTTCCAGGGCGTTTATCGTCGCATACCAAAGATGTGGTAATCGAGGAAGAATTTGTTGGTCGTGCGATGAAAACGATCGGGCTCTGCCTCGACTTACTTTTACAATCGCATAAAGACATTCCTTTTGCATTCGTCGCGAGGTTTCTCAACCTAAAGAATTATATACATCTGTATGTATATATATATATATATATATGCATATCAATTCTTTTTGCTGAGTATTAAAGTGGCGCTAGATAATAATACCCTGCTCGACTTTCGTTCTCTCACGATCCGATTCCTCGGACCGGTCCCGATCCTATATGTCAGTTCTGGTAGTCGTGGATCGACGATAAGCTAAGAAATATATTTAATTAGCTTTTTATTATCTCGTGTAAGGATACTGATTGGGCTTTTTTTTCTCTTACAGATCGAGAGGATCAGTCGATTTTATGCACCGGCGAGTCCGGCGCTGGAAAAACAGAAAACACGAAGAAAGTCATTCAATATCTTGCATACGTTGCAGCCTCAAAGCCTAAATCGAATGCGGTAAGTCGAAAGGCTTTGCGGTTACTTGTGAATGGAATTATTTTTTAATGAAAATAGTATCATTGTAAATTTTACGATGATACGCGTGCGTAAAGAAATTTTAATTTGTAACCATCGGATTTTTTCAACTTGATTATTATGGGTATTGATTACTCTTTCGTAACGTCACGTGATCGGTTTTTAATTTCTGGCTACGAAGCGTAATTCAGGATTTTGCCTTATCGGCATTTTATGTATGTCCACAACCACGTATTCGTCGTCGTCATAGAGATTCGTCATACGCGAACATATTCTCGTGACTTTTAAGTCGCGACTTTTGCCGTTGTTCTGCCGAACTCTTAACCGTACCGAGAATTTGATTTAAGTTCCTTCGGATGTCACTGCGATTAGCTGCGACCGCGATTGCCTAACCTCAACATCCAGTTGATGTTTCACTTATGGCATTTTTTTCAATTACCGACGTGGAGGCTTCAGGCGTTAAATAGCGAAGGATGTCGCTCCGCGGTTCCAACCTCTTCCGTTTCTCTTTTTTTTTTTATTTCTTTATTCAAATGTAAAATTGCTCGTCTAGTCTAGAGTGTAACTTCTCTTTTGAACAGATACGGTCGAGCTTAGCTGACTTTTCATATAATTTTGACTGAGTGCTACCACTCTTCCAAGCAGTTTCTGACAATGTACCGACTTCTTTTTAAAACTCGCCTTGTTGTTCACAGCGGGCTCTTTGTTCCAGCAATGTGAGCTTCAATGACGCCAGGCACTTAAAAACAGGCCTAGCCCAACCTGACTGTGAAAATGTTGAGATATTTTTAGTGATACGATTTACGGCTATGATAATAATACAGGATACGGTGTTACAAGTTTGCGTTACCTTATTGATATTGTCTGTATTAGTCTTGTGTTTATTATTGAGAAGTAACGGGTAAACTTAGATAGTGTTTGGCGCTATTAAAAAAAAAAAAATTGTTCCTCAATTCGATGTCTCATTTAATTCCAAGGTCGCCTCACATTGCACGAGCCTTAACATAGTTTCGATTACCATAAGCCAGTCTCGTTCTACAATAAACAGATGGTCGTTTGTACGTCGATTAAACCCAATAGATTTATATTGCGATCGGTTCGCGCACCATTGCGAAATGTAAATGGCATTCGCACTGGCTCGTAGGACCTCGCCATTTTCAGTGCCGCCGTTACCGTAATCTTGCCGTATTTCATTGCTGAACGATCGCTCACTGGAGAAATCGGTGAATTCTCGTATGTCCAAGCACGACTAGTGATTTCCACACGGTGTCAATGTATCTGGCGCACTCGTTTTTTCTATTACGGTGAGGTAGGTCGGTATCTCTTTGAAATGTAAAACACTACCGATCGATCACGAATCGATCACTCTCAAGCTTACGAGTCCCGTCGAGAAAATCTCGTTTGATAGTCAGTTAACGGCGCAGCGGCCTTTTGAAAAAGCGAGGTGACGAAGCAGCAACAGCCAGTCGACGCGCGCCATTTTTATTCCTAGACCAGAATGCACCAGCTTCGCAATCGCCGTCACACGTACGATTGTCAATTGAGGACGCGATAAGCTAATCGCAAAATATTTTTCGTCTGACTTAGATAACTTATACTTTTACGACGGCACAGTGACATTGATAAGAATCTATTATTATCGTTCGAACTATGATATCTAACCGAAGTTTTAATACTGTCAGAAGAAAAATTCAAAATATTAGACAGTTCCATAGGTCGTCGCTTGCGTTGATTTGATTCTCGTTTATTGAGGTACCTAACGATATATTTTTTTTTTTTCAATTTCGAAATCGGTGCTGTGAATCAGGTCAAGAATCTCGTAGAACTTTTTTCCTCATTTTTATTCACTCTTATTCAGTCTCGTTTCTCTCTTCGTTTTATTATCTTCGCACTTTACTGTCTATGAATATTTAAGTCGACATGCGATAATCTCTCTTTGTCATCCAGTCAACGAGGTTTCCGTGGTGGAATCGTGTCTGCGCTTTCAAATCGCATTCCATCAATTGCATCAATTGCAGGCGAATCCTCGTAACACGCTTCGCGTATCGCTCGCGCGATTATTAACGCGAACAATCGGACTCTCGCGGTTTCGCCAACTCGTGCGTAATTTTATTCACGACCTCGCGAATTCCTTACGGCCACGCGAGTAATTACCCTTACCATACACCTCGGACGACTTCTGTCGCCGGACGATACGTGTTGCGCGGACTACGCGAATTTATCATCCGGACAATTTTTTTATCACGGAATTCTCAAAGCGGATGCGAATATTCTGACGTTACGCGAGACCCAAAAAATTATGACGAAACAGTGACGTTTATCCTTTCAATTCTTACCGTGGTCACACCGACTGGACCAGTCTTTCTAAAACATACTATGCAGGCTAGTTATTTCGCGCGATTTTTAAAATAATTTTTCCACATAACAGAAACTCAAAATTTTACCCCAGAGCGCACTCCATTCGAAAAGGATGCCTGTTTGGGAAATTTGTATTGACCTGTACGTTTGTCTTTGTTTCACTCGTAAAAGTACCAATAAGCCTGTCTCTATCGCGCTCGCAGTGTATACGGAAAAAATCTTAAAAAATCCAAACACTCAGAAACCTTTCTTCATCTCTCGCGCAAGTTAACGTTCTGTCAATGGTTATAGGAAAAAAATACATTACCTTTGCTTATGTAACTCTATATAAAATATATAAATATACTATTACGCGTAAGAAATAAATATATGCTATTATACATAAGAATTGTATCATACACGTAAATCAATTCGTCGGCACGTTAAAGTTGTGTATACACATTTTTTTTTCTTTTAGTATCTTATAGTTAGACTCACGGGATGGATATAATCACGCAATAACACTCTCGTTCTAATGATAAGTGGTCGACTAGACTAGGGCAAGGGTTAGTCCTCGTAATTATTATTTATTTTTTTTTTAAAGAAATTTATCTCTTACTCTTGGATATGGCTGCTTTACACGGGACCTTTTGAATAGTCATTAGACAAGCTTAGTCAAAATATGGGTAAAAAAATGTCACCCCTCTTTTTTTTTTTACGAGCTACAATTCTCCATAGCGTACAGCTATCTCGTATCGGACAAAAGTGCACGGTATTCCTCGAGTCAAAAGGCTCATTTTGTTTTTATGGTAAAAAGAAAGAGAAATCATACACGAATAGAAATCGTCGAGGACTTTTCACATGGAGATTCGCCCGTATACCGTCGTCCATTTATAATGCCCGGTCGTTGTGCAATGTGATTTTTTGTTTGTTTACGACCTTTGCTTTTGAATCACTTCGTTCGACTGTCTCTCGTACGAAGGAGACTGAGAGAATAACTAGAAATCAAAATGTGCAGAGATTAAAAAGGCTTGAGGATGATTAGGTTAGAAGAGCGAGCGACGGTTGGTAACTGTCAGGAACGAAAACCTGACGGAGTAAACGCAACGGAAATTCTGAGTGCGCGCGCAGACGTTGTGTTTCCGATAAATTAAAATATATATACATCTTGCTGCTAGCTTAGCGAAGCTACCAACCAGTGGCTAATTCTGGAACTTCTTTTATTTTCGGTGCTGATTTACCATGGCCATTCTCACGTCTAGACCCCAAGCCCGGCGTTAATCATAGTAAGTTCAAATATTGGATCAAGTATGAGAAAAAAAAACATCGAATCGCCACTTCAATACTATTTGAAGTTCTATAAGAAGCTTTGCCTATGAAATTGTTTTTTTCTTGTTGTTGCTGTTTTACTGTACTCACATTCGCTACTGTTTTATTTACTAACAAGGTGGTTACGGATAGCGCGTGCTATGTAACAATTCAATTGTTAACATCACAAAATTTGCATTATTGATAATCGCTGATACAAATGCTCGTGTTATTTTTTTGGCTATTTTTCTTGTTGTTACAACTTCCTTCGGAGACATTTTATTGTACATTTATACGTATATGTGTATATATAACGTTACTCGTAGATTCGTTGCTATTTATATGGGATATCACACTGTTGTACCCGTTGGTAACTTTATTTTTTTATTTTTTAAATTGTAAAATATTTTTGAGTAACACGTAATTTTTTGACGCACTCTTTCCCGCTGCCTTTGAATTCAGGGACTTGGGACCGGATCGGACAAGTTTGCGGTAATTAACGTGACAGTGATAAATTTTGATATGATTATGACAATTTTTTTCACTTCTTTTTTTTTTTCGGTCTATATATTTTTCATTTTGTATGTGATCGGTATCTGTGTACAAATGGTACGTGGGTTACTTGGTAATTTTATTTTTGAATTTTTTAACGCTACTGCTTATATATTAGTAAAAAATATGTTAATTTTTTGAAATTTTAGTGAGACACTTTTTAACGTTTTTGTCATATTTTTTTTATTTATGTACTACGTGGTACTTTTTTTTTCACGTAATTCGTTTCTAATTGGTTCTTGTTATTTATTAATTGTCATGCGTTTAATGGATATATTTATATTTATTTTGTCTGTTTTTTTTTTCTTAACCGTCATCCGATCCCTTCTCTAAAATCCATGCTACACGTGCACCACTGATTTGAAGCTAATTAAGTGATCGTTCTTAGATATTTTTAATAGTTTATTAATTGATTAGAATGTCCGGGTTTGATTTGAAATGTTTCTCGTTAATTTTCCTCTCCAACGAATCATTCATATTTTTGACATTTGGAAAATCTTGGTATCTAATGTATCTTAATGCATTTGGAGAATAGAACGATTGCTTATGAAGTTACGTCAGAAGTCAGAGTTATTAGAATTGAGGAATTTTGGTCCTTGTTATTTATTTTGGATATTATTTGTGGTATTTTGTCATACTTACAATTGGCTACTGTGCGAAGGTATCCCCTGTTTATTTCAAATCACCATTGTAGATTGTCTAATATGATAATTTGTGTCGCAGGGCGAACTGGAACAGCAACTACTTCAAGCGAATCCAATACTGGAAGCTTTTGGAAATGCAAAAACAGTGAAGAACGACAATTCGTCACGTTTTGTAAGAAAATACAATGTTTCTTTGTCGAATCGGAGTCTTGATATAAGAATATTAGTTGTTTACGTTTATTCTTTCTATTTCAGGGTAAATTCATTAGAATCAATTTCGATGCATCCGGATACATTGCTGGAGCAAACATTGAAACGTATCTTCTGGAAAAATCCAGAGCTATTCGACAAGCCAAGGATGAAAGGACCTTCCACATATTTTATCAGCTGCTGGCAGGAGCCTCGGCCGAACAGAAAAGTATAAAAATGATTAAAAATTAATATAGTTCTATTTTTTATATTTAATAATTATTGTAAATATTGTTATCATTTACAGAGGAATTTATTCTTGAGGATCCTAAGCTCTATCCTTTCCTATCGAATGGAGCATTACCAGTACCAGGGGTGGACGATGCTGCTGAATTCGCAGCCACCGTAAAATCCATGAACATAATGGGAATGACCAACGAAGACTTTGCATCCATATTCCGTATTGTTTCTGCAGTCATGTTGTTCGGTTCAATGCAATTTCGCCAAGAGAGAAATTCCGACCAAGCCACTCTACCGGATAACACTGTGGCTCAGAAGATTTCACATCTTCTGGGTCTCAGCGTAACGGAAATGACTAAGGCATTTTTGAAGCCTAGAATCAAAGTCGGTCGCGACTTTGTAACTAAGGCACAGACCAAGGAACAAGTTGAGTTCGCTGTGGAAGCCATCTCCAAGGCCTGTTACGAGAGGATGTTCCGCTGGTTGGTTAATAGGATCAACAGATCATTAGACAGAACCAAGAGGCAGGGAGCAAGTTTCATCGGTATCCTTGATATGGCTGGTTTTGAGATCTTCGAGTTGAACTCCTTCGAACAGCTGTGCATCAACTATACTAATGAGAAGCTTCAGCAGCTCTTCAATCATACTATGTTCATCCTGGAGCAGGAGGAATATCAGCGTGAAGGTATCGAGTGGAAGTTCATTGATTTTGGTCTTGATCTTCAACCCACCATAGACCTCATAGATAAGCCTATGGGCATAATGGCTCTTCTCGATGAAGAGTGCTGGTTCCCCAAGGCAACTGATAAGACGTTCGTGGAAAAATTGGTAGGAGCTCATAGTGTTCATCCTAAATTTATGAAGACAGATTTCCGGGGCGTAGCTGATTTTGCTATTATTCATTACGCCGGTAAAGTTGATTATTCTGCTGCCAAATGGCTTATGAAAAATATGGATCCTCTTAATGAGAATGTCGTTAGTCTTTTGCAAGCATCTCAGGATCCGTTTGTCTGTCACATCTGGAAGGATGCTGAAATTGTTGGTATGGCTCAGCAAGCACTTACCGATACACAGTTTGGTGCCAGAACCAGGAAGGGCATGTTCCGTACAGTATCTCAATTGTACAAGGAGCAATTGGCTAAATTGATGGTCACCTTACGTAACACAAATCCCAACTTCGTCAGGTGTATCATTCCTAATCATGAGAAGAGAGCTGGTAAGATTGACGCACCACTGGTACTGGATCAGCTGAGATGCAATGGTGTCCTGGAGGGCATTCGTATCTGTAGACAAGGATTCCCAAATAGGATACCTTTCCAGGAGTTCAGACAGCGATATGAACTTCTTACACCGAATGTCATTCCTAAAGGTTTCATGGACGGAAAGAAAGCTTGTGAAAAAATGGTGAGTGTTTTAAGAAAATAATTAGTTATTCATATTGATGCTTATACTAATTGTTGTGAAAACTGATCTTTTGTTCTTTATAGATTCAAGCTCTGGAACTAGATCCCAATCTGTACCGTGTGGGTCAATCGAAAATATTTTTCCGCGCGGGTGTTTTGGCACACCTTGAAGAGGAGCGTGATTACAAGATCACAGATCTTATTGTCAACTTCCAAGCATTTTGTCGTGGCTTCTTGGCTAGACGTAATTATCAGAAACGTCTGCAGCAGCTTAATGCTATTCGCATTATCCAGAGGAATTGCGCAGCTTATTTGAAACTCCGCAATTGGCAATGGTGGCGGCTTTATACGAAGGTGAAGCCACTATTGGAGGTGACCAAACAGGAAGAGAAGCTTACGCAGAAAGAAGATGAGCTGAAACAGGTTCGTGACAAGTTGGAGTTGCAGCTGCACTCTGCGCAGGAGTACGAAAGAAAGTACCAACAAGCTATCGAAGAAAAGACAATGCTGGCTGAACAATTACAAGCCGAAGTTGAACTTTGTGCTGAAGCTGAGGAAATGCGTGCTAGGCTCGCTGCTAGGAAACAGGAACTTGAAGAAATTCTTCACGACCTGGAGGCTCGTATTGAGGAGGAGGAAGAGAGGAGCACTGCATTGACTGCGGAGAAGAAGAAATTGCAGTTGAATATTAGTGACTTGGAAGAACAGTTGGAAGAAGAAGAGGGGGCACGACAGAAATTGCAGCTAGAGAAAGTACAGTGCGATGCAAAGATCAAGAAACTTGAGGAAGACCTAGCACTGTCCGATGATACTAATCAGAAACTTCTGAAGGAAAAGAAACTCTTGGAGGAACGATCGAATGATCTGTCCCAGACTTTGGCTGAGGAAGAAGAAAAAGCTAAGCACTTGGCAAAACTAAAAGCCAAACACGAAGCAACCATAGCTGACCTGGAGGAAAGATTGCTTAAGGATCATCAACAGAGACAGGAAGTAGACAGATCTAAAAGGAAAGTAGAAACGGAAGTGTCAGATCTCAAGGAACAATTGGCAGAAAGGAAAACCCAGGTAGAAGAGCTGCAGCTTCAGTTAGGAAAGCGTGAAGAGGAATTGACCCAGGCGATGATGAAAATTGACGAGGAGGCTGCTGCTAAGGCCCAGTCACAGAAAGCACTCAGGGAAGTAGAGTCACAATTAGCAGAACTTCAGGAAGATCTTGAGGCTGAGAAAGCTTCCAGAAGTAAGGCTGAAAAACTTAGGCGTGACCTTAATGAGGAATTGGAAGCTCTGAAAAATGAACTTCTGGACTCATTGGATACTACAGCTGCACAACAAGAATTGCGAAGTAAACGGGAACAGGAACTCGCCACGTTGAAAAAGAATCTCGAGGATGAGACTTCCGTTCACGAAGCGACGCTTTCTGAAATGCGTCATAAGCACACTCAAGAACTAACTGCTCTAAATGAGCAAATGGACGCCCTGAAGAAAACAAAAGCAGGCCTTGAAAAGGTTAAGGGTTCCCTAGAAGCGGAGAACGCTGATCTGGCCACTGAACTTAGATCTATTGGTGCCAGCAGACAAGAGTCTGATCGTAGACGGAAACAAGCAGAGCAACAGTTAGCTGAGCTGAACGCAAAGGTAGCTGAAGTTGAAAGAGCTAGACAGGAACTCGCAGAGAAAGCAGCGAAACTCCAACAAGAAGCTGAAAGTATTTCCCAGCAACTAGAAACAGCAGAATTAAAAGCCTCCGCCGCGCTGAAAGCGTCAGCTACCTGCGAGGCTCAATTCACAGAGATTCAACAACAGCTGGAAGAAGAAACCAGACAAAAATTGGCATTAAGTTCCAAATTGCGTGCACTGGAAAGCGAAAAGGAGAGCTTGCACGATCAGCTGGAGGAAGAGGAAGAAGCAAAACGTGCTCTGGATAAACAAGTTCAAAGTTTAATAGTTCAATTGGCTGAAGCAAAGAAGCGCGGCGATGAAGAGGCGGAGGCGGCTGTTGCTCTCGAGGAAGCCAGAAAGAGGTGTATGAAGGATATTGAAGCACTTCAAAGACAGGTCGAGGAACTTCAGGCAGCCAATGACAAACTGGACAAGTCTAAGAAGAAGATCCAGGCAGAGTTGGAGGACAGCAACATCGAACTCGAAGCACAGAGAGCTAAAGTACTCGAGTTGGAAAAGAAGCAAAAGAACTTCGACAAAGTCCTTGCCGAGGAGAAGGCTGTCTCCGAGCAGTATGCTGAACAGAGAGACGCTGCAGAACGTGAAGCCCGTGAGAAGGAAACTAGAGTATTATCTTTAACCAGGGAGTTGGATGAGTTGAACGACAAGGTCGAGGAACTGGAGCGAGGTCGTAGAGGACTTCAAGCTGAACTCGACGAATTGGTTAACAACCAAGGTACCGCAGACAAGAATGTGCATGAATTGGAAAAGGCCAAACGCGCGCTGGAATCACAACTTGCCGAGCAACGTTCCCAAGTTGAGGAACTTGAAGATGAGCTTCAGTTTACAGAGGATGCAAAATTGAGACTGGAAGTAAATATGCAAGCACTTAGGGCGCAGTTCGAACGCGACCTTCAAGCCAAGGAAGAGCAGGCGGAAGAGAAGCGTCGAGGTTTGGTCAAACAGTTGCGCGACCTGGAAGCTGAACTCGAGGACGAGAGGAAACAGCGTGCAGCCGCTATTGCCCAGCGTAAGAAAATGGAAGCCGACCACAAGGACATGGAGCAACAATTAGAAATGCACAACAAGGTCAAGGAAGATGCACTTAAACAGCTGAAGAAACTTCAAGCCCAGCTTAAAGACTCCACGAGGGAAACCGAGGAGGCTAGAGCTGCCAGGGATGAGCTTGCAGCTGGTGCAAAGGAAACTGAACGTAAAGTGAAGAGTCTCGAAGCTGAACTGACGCAGCTCACTGAAGACCTGGCCAGTAGTGAACGTGCCCGTCGTGCTGCTGAGAGTGAACGCGATGAACTCCAGGAGGAGATCCATAACAACGCCAACAAGAACACCCTCTTGTTGGATGAGAAGCGACGACTAGAAGCTAGAATCACGTCTCTCGAAGAAGATCTCGAAGAAGAGCAGTCGAGCGGCGAGGTCGTTATGGACAAGGCAAGAAAGGGTCAGCTAATAATCGAACAGTTGACCTCCGACCTAGCCACAGAGCGTTCCACCACACAAAAGCTAGAGTCCCAGAGGGTGCTTCTCGAGAGACAGAACAAGGAACTCAAAGCGAAGTTAGCAGAACTCGAAACGGCTCAGCGCACCAAGACGAAGGCAACGATCCAAGCATTGGAATCGAAAATCAACAATCTCGACGAGCAACTCGAAGCCGAGGCTAAGGAACGCTTCGGGCAGCAAAAGATCAACCGGAAGTTGGACAAGAAGCTGAAAGAAATGGGTCTTCAACTCGAGGACGAGAGAAGAAACGCAGATCAGTATAAGGAGCAAGTCGAGAAAGTAAACGCCCGACTGAAGACACTGAAGAGACAACTCGACGAAGCCGAAGAAGAAATCGGCCGGGAAAAATCACAGAAGAGGAAAGCACAGAGAGAAATGGAAGATATGATGGAATCCCAGGAAGCCCTGACAAGAGAAGTGGCCAACTTGAAGAGCAAGCTCAGGTAAAACCATAGAATCTCTCTCCATCTCTACAAAGATTTTTAACCATAACCTAGCTATCCTAGAAAACCAAATGAATACCCATCCTGAACCCAAGAATCCCAACACTTCAGTGCTACCACACGTAAGTTCACTCGGTCCATATCCAACTTTAACAATTTTAACCAATAATAACTATAGCCCTGATCTCAGTTGTAACGAGTACACTAACGCTCCATCAATTTTTCCCAGGCGTGGCGCACCAGGTATAAGTCTAACCTCCACGCGATTATCAAAACGTGGTTCGGTACAGACCGGTGGTTCTGGCGATGATTCGACAACCCAGGACGAGAGTATCGACGGCGAGGAGACGGTCAACTGAGGATCTCCAATAAGAATAACATACGTACCAGCAAAAATGCAGCGCATAATAGGCAACCACAGTCTGATAAGGGAAGAAGTCATGGCGTGGATATGAAGAGCGTGTCTCTTCACTGTTTAGAATGTAGGAAGGAAACGCATACGGATCATCCAATGAATCCGGGTCGCTTCGGCAAAAGCAGATCGTATTGTGCCGACACGGTAGATGCGATTGTAAAAGCACGAAAATAATTAATGGCGGCACACGTGATGATATGACGGAAACCACGTGTGCGTATACCAGGTGATAGGCGATAGGAAACAATTTCTTTCTTTTTTCTTTTTTTTTTTTCCTTTCTTTTTTCATTTCTCATCATCAATCGACCTTTCCACCTCGACCTAATTCCAATCCTAACCTTAATTTTTATATCTAAACGCAGTTCTTTCCCCTGTTTTTCCTTCTTCTTCTTCTTACACGTTCTTCCTTCTCTTCCTGTATCGTATAGGAGTATCATTACCGCTAATTATCTCCTCACAGTTAAAAAAGAGATGCCATCAAAAAAAAAAAGAAAACGAATGGGTAACAAAAGAATAAAAAAAAACCATGTGTTTACAATGTGTACATAACTTTAAATCTTCGGCTTACTTACTAACTCTGGGACCGCCGAGCGGTTTCATTATCATTGAGCGAAATACGACGGGACGGGAATATACGGGATAACGATTATTCAAAATAATAAATTTGCATGCGAGGTGCCCGCGAGTATCGAAAATTTTACAACAAGCGGAAATGAATATTCGATGAAAAACTCGAAAAAAATGGAAAGTTAATGAAAGCGCATGAATTAAACGAAACAAGATACTCCGAAAAAATGGAGAATATTACTGAAAGTCGACGGCAAATAGAGAACCAATTTGTTTTAAAAAAAAATATATATGAGGGCGATTCGCTGCATAATGAACATAACAACTGAATAACACACTTAGATAGAATTAAGACATTAATGTTTATTATTATTATATTATTATTTTATTTTATTTTATTCCTATTATTACGATCATCGTCATTGACGCCCTTACCCGATCCTCTAGCCAATATATTATTGTAGTAATTATTTTGTAATAATTAACTAATAATATGGAGAGCGGTGTCATAGAGAAACCCAATAATTCTATGGCAACGTTTGACAAGGCGTTATACCTCCTGCAAAACTTTAGAGTTTCATTTTAAAAGGTTTTTTCCATGAGAATACATTTTTTTTTGTTCTTTACGGTATGCTCGCTTTATTACGATTTGTTCTTAATATCATCGTCATCGCGGTGTCATTTCAATTAATCCCATTCTCCCGTATCCAATTCTTTTTCCCTGGGATTTTATTGTCTCGAGAATAACATTTTTATATAGTTCAGTCGCACATGCATTTATATATATATATATTTTTGGCATTATATAATATATATAAATATATATGTGTATATATATATATATATTTAATTGAAACGTACCTAAATTCAATTTTCCCGTATATCCTCACTTCCAGTCCGTTCAATTCAATTCCTCATTACATATTTTCCCGTGTCATTCAACTACACAGGATCAATAAACTTACTTAAGGAGATACATTTTTTATTTTGTTTCAAGCTTGTACTTAAGTTTTTGTTTTTCGTCGCCTTTGATTTCTTTATTTGCACGTGGATTATGTCCTCTTTTTGGGTTATGCTCAACGGAGCGATCTTTTAAAATGAAACGCAGACGTTTCAAGGCAGTACGTGTTACCGAATTAAAGTGAATCGTGAACGAAAAAGAAATCTGCTGTTGAAAGACAGAGATAAATGAGAAAAGAAAATAAGAAATATGTAGCGCGTAATGGTGACCGAGGCGATGGAATTTTATACACGCATTTTTATATAGGCATTTTATGAAAATTCTTTGTATTCAAAGGCATTTATCGACAATGGCGCATAGTGCGCATGTGCGCGCGCTTTCCTTTGCTCGGCTGGTATAGTTTTTTATACGCAGAGCGATTAGCGCGAACGCGACATAACGATCGGTCATTGTACAAAATAGGCCTTTTGCGATTAGAGTTTGCAATGCTTATAAATGGAGAGATGGTAAGCTACAAAATGGAGGATAGAAAATAAAAAGAGAACGGCGAGAAAACAATAAGAAAAATGTAAACAATTAAGAAATTTAAGCAGATTGCGGCTTCTTAGATATACTTTAGGCTGTATGTTTTTCATGAATAACAAATGGCGGATATTTGCGAACAGTTACTGTGAAGAATTTGAAGCAGAGAGTCTGTCTGGGAGTGAGGATCATCGAACACTAAGTCAATTGTCTTTGTCTGTTTGATCTTCCTTGTCGTTGTGAAAGAAAGAGAAACAAACAGAGAAAGGAGTATAGAATGAAAATAAAAACTATGCATTATGTATATAATGGGTGCGGGAGTCAGTGTCGTCAGTGAATCCTCATTGCGTCCTCGAGCGAACATCAATCCCAGGATGTGTTTAGACTTTAGATCGAATACAAATTTCTGACAAGATGTCCAGGAGGAGAAAGATGAATTAGCACGGGGACTGGTAGGACTGCGGAAAAGAATTCTACAAATTTGTTTGACGAGCCTGGAAATTTGATGGTTAACCGACAAGGTGTAGAGATGGTTTTGATACATTTTATATGAATTAAACACAAAAGGTTGATCGCGTCTTAAGTATATAAGAAATACAATAAACGATGAAAAATGAAATCAAGATTATCGGATTACTGGTAAACCCTTAAGATTTACACATTCCTCTCTTTGATCTCCTTTAGCTGTCGCAAGAGACCTGGTTTCGCCAAATCGAAAGGAGTCTTGCCGAGTTTGTTCGTGACAGTCACATCCGCTCCGTTACTCATCAAGAGCTTAGCTTCCTCTTCTCGATCCTCTTCACAGGCTAGATGCAATGCCGTATTTCCAGAAGCATCTCTACTATCTAAATTTGAAAAGAAAGGTACGTAATAAATTTTAACAAAGCCACGTTCATTAGTCTTTCATATTCACCTATTTTCAAGATATTTCCATACTCCAGGAGAAGCTTCACGATTGCTGTGTTACCCTTGGATGCGGCTCTATGCAGTGGCGTTGCACCTCTTTTGTCACAAATATTTATATCTGCTTCCTTTTCAAGTAAAGCTGCACATATCGTTTTCCAATTTTTTGATGCTGCATACTGCAGTGCGGAATGTCCATCCATTGTTTTTGCATTGAGATCAGCTCCTTCATTCAGCAGAACGTTTACAACCTTGTCACGACCGGCTGACGCTGCCAGAATCAACGGTGTCATATTTGTCTGTCACAATAATAAAGACAAATTTCAAATATGCCATTTATGAATTCAAATTTATAGCGCTGCTTCTTGACACCACGCGGCTAACCTATGCGCATGCGCTAGCATGGCCGACTGCGTCCTTATCGCAGTGTCACTGGTGCAGATGATACATTGAGAATTTTAACAATGATTTACATTATAATTCAATACTCACGTCATCGACAGGATCCACAGGAACACCCAGGGATAGTAAATGCGTAACAAGATCATCGTGTCCTCCCAAAGCAGCCCAGTGTATCAACATTCGTCCATTCTAGATTAAAACAGTCACGTAGGTTATGAAATTCTTTACAAAACTCACAAAGATTTACTCACGCTATCAGTCTCTGACTTAAGTTTCAGGTTCTCGTTAAGTAGGATCTTAACGGCAGCTGTCTTGCCGGTATATGCAAGATCAAACGGTGTTGGTTCCTGAGGTGCCATCTTGTTACCGGTTAAATTTGTATTGAAAGTTAAAAGTTCAGCTGCATTCAGCTGGCATCAAAAGTAACGATTCACGTTTTCGTCACAATGCGTACGCGCATCTTTTGAAAACCCATTGGCGAAATAGTGTTATGTTATGTTAATAAACAAATGCCCTGCCTGTAATGGCTTTCTTTTTAATTTGCAATAACTTTTGGTGTTATAAAATCGAAAATATTATTTCAGCCAATTGGCTGTTGGCTCTGAGAGAAGGAAACTGTTGCCATTGGATAAATCTCAAGTATTGTAACATATAAAGTTTTCGCTTACAGGTTGTAGAAACGTTCAACCAATCGCGTTGGCCTGTTCTTTTTAAACCTTACGCGTGATTGGTTAATTCTTTTTAAAACCCGTACGTGTTAACTTAGTTAGGATATCGCTATAGTTAGTATCAGCTCACGCCACGATAGCGTATGTGTTCTAAGGCGAACGATTTACTGTCGGGAAGTTAGCGCCCAAAGATAAACATGCATGTTTTTAATGTCTAAAATATTTACAAAATATTCATTGAAACAGAAAAATATTTCTTTTATTGCTATTCCAAATAATCAAGAAAACTTTCATATGATTTTATTAATTAACTAATTGCTCTCTATTTGCTCCGTTATGCTCAGTAATTTGTCTTTATTTCATTAAAGCATCTTTAAATAACAAGTAAAAATTGTTTCTCTTTTGATCCGATTGCAAACACAGCTATGATAGGTGCGTTCGAAGATGAGTCGTGGCCGCTAAGAACAGATTCTCTATTTATTGAATGCCAGATATTTATTCGAATAAATATCTTGTCCCGAATAAAATTAAAGAAGAAAGAAGGAAAGAGATAAATAAGAAAGTAATGAATGAAAGATAAAGAAATAAGGAAGTAGAGAAAAAATAAATATAGAAAAACAAGAACGTTGGAAATGGATAAGAAAGATGATTCCAAGAGACCAGTCAAGACCAGTATAGGATAACGGCTTGAGGAAGAAAGGGCGCTCCGAGTTCAGTCACTGCCTTCGGCGATCTCCCCACTCTCCGGCTCCCTCCCATTCGGCGAGTTTTGCGCGATGAATTTACGCACACATAATTTTGGCCAATTTTCAGTACTTCTAAATATTCTTGGCCGGGATTTCTGATTTCCAAGTGTTAATATCTAACTTTATTGATTTAATTAATGATTTTAATACACTTAATTTATTACTATTCCAATTTGAGCGTAATTTATTTTTGACATTTTACAATCTCAATTCAATTTTCATCTGCTCCATATATTTTGCGAGATTTTAATTTAGCCTCAATTTTATATTTTGAATTAATTTCTAAAGTGAGTCAAGATCCAATAATACTTAATAACATTTGAAAAGCTTTATTCAATGTTTCGAATTATCAATATTCCTGTGCTACTAATTTGTTCTTTCTTAGACTTAAAACTTAGACTGCATAAATGCCTAATATAGCCAAGTCTTCATTTCCGGCTATTAAACTCTTACGTTTAAAAATCCGTGCTTGTAAACTTACTCGGTGTCAGCAAGCATATTCAGACAGAATTTCCCAGAATTAAAAACTTCGAAAGGACACAGTAAGAAAAGACTGTTTCCATCTTCTTGCATCCGAATAACTAGCCTTCAATAAACAGAGAAGAAGATGCTTTAATAAAATTAAAAAAAAACGGATCAAATAGAGAGCACTAAATTAATTAATAAAATCCTATGAAAATCTACTTGATTATTTAAAATAGCAATAAACAAATATTTTTCTTTTTCAATAAATATTTTTTAATCATTGTACAATAGCAGTGGAGCAATAAAAAAAGCATAAGACTAGTCATTAAAATCATAAATTTGTATCTTTTGATTTGACTTCCCAACGGCTATATATTCAAACCGTTTATCTCCATAGACGAAAACACATTGAAAAACAGAAAAAATAGAATTGACAATCTCCCATATTTTCCATGATATTTCCAAATGCATGTAAATTGCAGGCTTATACCTTTTACCTTACAAGATAGAAACGAGACCAAACGATTTTTCTTTCTCTTCTCTTTCCAACGGACCAACTCTGTGGCACGCGAGGATCCCGTACAATTATGCAAAACGACTACTTTAAAATGCATTCTTCTCAAATCTTCGTTAAGTTCCAGTCTTCGCGTTTCAAAAGAAAATGAAAGTCGTAAATGCACACGCTCACCGTACTACACATCTTATACCAAAAACTCTATCAACTGTCGTGCCTAATTTGAATAATGAAAACGACCGTAATAATTTCCACATTAAATAAAAAAAGCAACATCTCCATATGCATAACAAAATAGAATTCCACTATTGATTTTCGTATCTCCCGTAACAAATCCGTTCATCCAATCGATGCAGACTGTAAGCAATGCATATTCATTCGCTTCTATCAATGATAATCTGACGTTTAAATTCCTTATTAGGAATCGACAAGAAACAGACGGGCCATTCACCAGAATTAAAATTATTTTTACATGAATACGTCACGATTGACGCTTTTCCATTGTATAACAATTGAAGCGTCCCGACGTCTCGGTCAATACCTATCGACCCGTGGTGAGCTTTTGTGGCGTCCCGATAATTCGATTCCTAGCCGGATAACGTTACATGAAATATGCATGTGTCTCGCTTTGTAATTTTCTTTTCTATTTCCTTACTCGCTATTCCTAGAAAACACGCTATCCTTGGCGCGTCTTTTAAGATTTGTCCTCCGTTAAATTTAGCTGCCGAAATACAAATGTTCGGCGTCTTTTAGCAGCGTCGTCTTCTGAAAAAAGATATATTTATTATATTTAAATTTAAAATTCGCTCGCGCTATTAACAAACAAAGGGACATACCTGTGTAAATATATAAATCCTATAGGCACCTGCGAATACAGTTCACGTACCGTGAAATAAAGTTCGTTCAAAAAAATGACTAAACGTCCTACTGTTCTTTTCTTTATTATGGAAAATCCTGAAATCCCAAGTATCATCAGTCATCGATGTTTTCCAGTCTGATGATGTCATACCACTGAACGAAATCGCTTCACGCTCCAAGTAGTTGAAAGGTGTAGAGGTCGGGAGACATTTTTCACATTTGCAATCCAGACTCACCTATTTAACAAACAGATATTTTTTATATATATTATTTATATTTAAAAACATAATTTACCCAAAATATGTTTGTAGCCATGCATCTAGAAAATTCATAAATTATTCTAAGGCATTGAGTGTCCAATCGCAGATCTACCAGCAACTTGATCCTTTTTGCTAAGTAAGGCAGTTTTGAAAATGAATTTTTTATACTACGTAAAATACTAGGAGTACTGGTTATTTATGAAACTACCTGTATCCCTAGGATTTTCACAGGTACAGGTATACGTTTGCCAAATTACACGGATGATTCGATGAATTCATTATTATGGTCGAACAGTCACGTATTTCTGTTTTTAATGAACTTAATGTTGGTATTGTAATCATTGACCAATAGACCGTTAAGGTGGACACCCTGATTCCAGAAATGTAAATTGTCAATGCAATTTTATAAAATGCATTTATATATATATTGTAACGTTCCGCTCTTATATCATCTTCCTTCTCTATGCTTTTTCCTTAAATTATCCAATTCTCGAGAATCCCTCAAATCTTAATATTCCTTGAAACTCCTATCGACCTCTTATCAACGACGCCGATAAGGCAAAGGGAAGGCTTTATATCCCCAATATTACGTAATTTCATTGAAATCAGTCACAGCGACGATCATGAGGAAATAATATTAGAGGTATACTATACATTGAATGTTCCGAAAATCGAAAATCCGGCCGAGCGACTGGAATCGGAGCAAACGAGTGCCCGAGCGCTATCTGGCGGCACGAGCCTGATACAGTAGAACAAGCAGTAAGTCGGTATTTGAAAAAACCACTTATACCATTAGTCAAATTAAATTGTCAAATAAAATATTAAATCAAAATTTGACGTAAACGCCTCGGGATACTAAAAATCGTTATTCCCATTAAAAATAACGTATTCCTCTCGAGGATATAAGCAGTGGCATCCTGGACTGGAATTCATTTTGATTTCTACTCAAAAATCGCGAAACGTCTTAATGTATATATGATTCTGCGACAGTGACGTATAATGAAATACGAAAAAAAAATATTAATCTTACAAATATTAGATATTCAACGGAAAAATTAAAAAAAAATATGAAAACCCTCAACGTGACATGTAATATATACAGTAATACGTGAAACGCAAAAATATCACTTGTCAAATTACGAATCGAGTTTGCGAATGACAGTCAGTCTGAAATGTATATTTGTATGAATGAAGTACCGAGAAGAACTTTGAAATATTCGCGGGAAATATTAAATATATAAAAGGAGCTTAATATTATTTAATTTTAAATTACTATTTCCATAGGACAATCGATTGGACGACAATTTTTATTTATCGTACCCATGAAAGGAATCATTTATAGAGACGATAGGAGTTACAGTGGGGATCCTGTTGAATTATTTGTGTATTTTATCGGCTCTGTACCGGCGAGACGTCGCGAAATCAAATTTGCACCATCGTCGACGTCGAAACTATCGTCGCGACGGAGTTACTCGCGAGAAAAATACGAGATAAAGGATTAAGGGAATACGAATCGCTTTATTCCTACTTGTTATATATTTTTATGTCGATACAGTGTAGCCGTATTGAATTTATACGTATTAATTTTCAGGGACGCGAAATTATCGACAATGTTATTAATAATTTCATACAAAACTAAATACAGTGACGAGTCCAGACGAATATTATGTATAGCTTCTATTTGCAAAGTCGAAAAATCCTATAGGAACCAAATACAGTTGGCAATTCTGATGCAGGAATCTGTCCAGATTCCTCTTTGTTATAATATTTGCTTTTAAGTTTTGCAGGTACCCTTGGTCATTGGCGTTTTTGAAAAACTCAATTGCGCTATGTTAAAATTAATTTTTTATTCTGTTCCTACTTCTTACTCATACTGGAAAAGAATTTAATGAGCCAACCAGGCCAATATTGCTTTATGGCCTACGACGAAACTTATTGACTTAAGCCTTAAGGGGGTCAGCGGCTGGAGGGGTTGATATGAGGAATTCGTTCACGACCCAAAAGGTTCGCGCGTTACTTAGAAACTCGCAATGGGAAAAGTTCATCGTATTTAGAGTTATGGGGGTTTGGTTATATTTTTAGTATTAAACTAGAAATAGTATGGTTATACAGATGTATATATTCAAGTACATTCTATAACGACTGCCTCAATTTTGTTTATTGGTTTGATCTTACTTGTTATTTGTTACGTAATTTCTTTTACACTTGGTTTATCGAATCTCCTTATTTTCTGATGTTACGCAATATTTATGATATTGAAAAAAAAAACATTGCAACGAATTGTACTGTATAGAAATAGCTTAAGTGCTCATTGACTCATATCGTCCATGTGATATTTATATCACGTCACACGAAATAGGTCCGACCGAGTACAGCAAGAGAGTCCCTTTGTGTTTTTTAGAAGCAGCATATATTTTTTTTATCGTCAAATTGTCCCTGATCGAAAAGCCAAACACTTCGTGTTCCACTCCGTTTGTACTTTGGTAAAACGTGACTGAACCTTTTCCGTTATCTTTATAAGACACCTCATATTGCACTGGCCATTATGCCACGGGGCATTAAAAACGTAATTACTGTTATTCAAGTACTGTGAAAAATCCTAAAGAATCTCGACAATGTCATCGAGAAACAAAAGCAAGATAAGAAAACTCAGAGTTTGTAAATAACTTACCATTTCTATTGTTGTCTCGTTCTGATTGGTTAACTTTGAGTTGCTGTCATTTGAAAACTAAGAACTTCCCTACGAAAACAAGGTTATTTTCATGATCTCCGATGCCTCCCCAAAACCGCCTGTAGGCCCGATAATATCGTAACACCCTATAAACTTACAGTGTACGTATATGGTTAGTAGAAAAAATAGAAGAAAAAAAAATATATAAGTCCGAACAGCAATTTCGTACGCTTCATAAATCAAGTTTTAATGGCGACCCTTTGTAATCTTTTAGGACGGTTTTCAACTATTCCACTGTCAAGGAAGTCCCGGACGCCTCGAAGGAGAACGACGACGACAACACTTTTCACGTGGAAGTATCGACTGGGAACTTTTCGTTTCCCGTATAGATTTCTGCTTAGCGGTGGAAAACTTGTACCCGTAAAAATAACAATAATTCTATTCGTCCCGCCGGAGTCAACAATGGCCGACGGCAGGAGCGCGTAGAGGGTGAGTATGGGGAATACAAACGAGATGGCGATAGTAGTAGAAACTTTCTAGCATCTATTTCACCTCGAGTGACGATCCCGAGCCGGGCGTTCACGTAGATGTGAATTGGGTTTGCAGTTTTCTAGTAAACAAATTCGTATTCGCTACGTGGATCGTTACTTTGGCCAAACTATTTTATATCAATTGCCAGAAGCGGGGATATTTATCTGTGACAGCTGTGTTTTTTGTTTTCTCTCCATCTCTTTTCCTCGCTCCAGCTATTACGGCTAGTCACTTCTTTCCGTTTATACGTATTGTTTGGTTACTCTGTGCATAGAATCGTTCACTGAACAAGCGGTGGCATGTCAATTCGCACCAGCCATGTGTAATCACGTATGTCTTACTTGACATTTTAGGTTAGGTTTGCACGCTCAAACGTTCTCGCAAACTAGTCAAACTCATGTTAAGGAGCTGCCGTGTTATTTGACACAAGATGAAGGGAATGGCATACACGTTAAGATTAAATGGCCGCTTGCTCTGGTTTGTAATATTCCTAGTGGATGCTGTACACACACATATATATATATATTACATAAATAAATTATTCTACGTACTGTATATGCCGTATTTGCAAATATACATCTATAGGCATATCCTTACATTGTACAAAACCTAGGCAACAGCACGGAAGATAAGTTTTGAGACGGCAATAAAGTTACATTACGGTTTGTAATATGTATTTCAATAGCTGCAAGTTGTTCAATGCATCCGTACTACTGTTTTTGTATGTAGTTGATAAATTGGCGAAAATTTAACACCCACTTAAATTTTGAGTCAGTCTTTATAACTGACCAAAGCGAATCAAAGCAGCTATAAATATTTAGAATGGCGCATGCTCCGCCACTTTTATGTATACATATACTTTTGACTCGCGAAAATGTTTATAAAATTTTGAAAATTGTGAATTTATTTAATTATAGTATTTTGATTTTGGTTATTATCGATATTTAATTAACGTTTGTTGGCTCGTGAAAAATCGTTGTTTCATTAGACAAATTTTTTTGTACTCTCATCAGAATTTTGTACATTGTTTCAGGTATTGTAGACGTACGTATTCGAAATCGACTCGCCGACTGTTACATAAACGGAACTGCGGCTGATTTAGCATTAATGGTGTCTGTATGTGGTACAGACGTGCCAAACTGAAACAGTGGCAGCTGGGTGAATTCGAGAGAGGCGAAATTGTCAGTGGGTGGATTCTCTGTTGGAGACGTCCGACGTCATAGGCAAGCCTGAGTCCTGTAATTAACAGAATCACTCTACTCTCTCACTCTTTCTCTCTCCCAATATTAGCTTTGCCTTGTCTAACGGTTTGGCACATGGATTCAAAATACTGATTGTCAGTGAAATTTCATATCGTCCATTACTAATATCCATTATACAGTGATAGGTATGTATAATGATTGAATAAATATGACTGTTGGATTAAAATAATTAATTGTGATAAATTGCTGTGAGATCATGGATAAGCGTCAGGATCTATTAGAAAAGATAGATTTAATACGCATCTGTGTATTTATTGCCGGTAGAAATTTTTATAGACAAACGAAAATTGGTTTTCATCAAGCTCAAATGGATTGTGTTATTCTAGGAAGGGTGAAATGTACGGGGGAGTAGGAGAGGATGATTGAATTCTCAGTAAGCTAACAAGAGACAGACAGCGCAACAGAAATTCCTGGAGAACAATCAATAATCGCTAACAAGAGACAGACAGTGCAACAGAAATTCCTGGAGAACAATCAATAATCGATAAAAGGTCGTAAATGAATGGGAATTCAATGGGAGGATAATAAAAGTCCAATTGAGGTTACATTCTAAATGTCTTCTTTCATGTCTGTACTATTTAAAAATAAACTGAGTGAAATATTAATCGAATCCTGGATTACCGTGTCACGTGCTGGTCGAAGGAAGAAGAATCCATTAATGAAAATGTAAATGTCAAAAGGTACGTCCTTCCGGTTAATTTTATTTCTCTGCAAGGAGAAACTTCTGGAAATGGTATCTTTTTTTTCAATACCTCTATCTTTGTCTCCAATACTTATTTTATTCTCAGTCAAGATACTACCACAAAGAAAAGAGCTACAGAGATCAGCGAAATAGACGAGTTTCCAATGGCGCTACTGATTGAGGACGAGTTTCTACCCAAGTTAAGCAAGGGATCAGAAGCGGAAGAGCCAGAGAATATTACAAGGGCAAATGGGAATCTCGTAGCCGGATTTAAATATTTGGTTACCATTTGAAATGGAATAATGAAAAAGCCGGGTATACCTTTCTTTTATAACTTTTTCTTCCTGGCTGCATATTAAACGTGGGAAATGGTCCGATGCTCATTAAACGGTTTATCTTTTTTCCAGGTAAAGGACCTGCAGGACCCAGAAACGAAAAAAGACAAAAAAGTCATAGGGCCAAGAAAAGTACAAAGAAAGGAACAATGGATAAAAGAAAAAGGCGATTGGTTGTCCTATGGGATAAGCTGGTAGGCAAGGTGGTGGCAATTTTAATTTAATATGACCCCGACCAGAGCCGTATGAATTTACAACGATAAGACCAGGGAGCTTTCCGGCGCATAGGATAATAAATATGGCGCGTAGGGCCGTGACGTAATCCTACGGAAGGATGCGAGTCAGATATTGGCCATGTAATCCGGGTTTTATGTGAGGATCGGGATGTGCTCATCCTATACGATACAACCACGTCCGACTCCGAGAGTTTGAGGAAGGATTCAAGCCCGGCTGCTTCCATGTTGCTGGAAAGTCATAAACCGACGGATTAATAATAAGGACGAGCCATCTGAGTATCCCTTTGCATATAACGTATAATAAGGTTTCTCTTGATATTGGCTCTACCATAGACCGCATAATTGTTATATAGCACTAAACTCATTTTCCGTAACAATTCATTAAATCTAACAATGGTCCAAATACTAGTATGTGTTAAAAGTTTTTCCTAATGCACAACAGACTTCAAATATTAACATAATGAATTGGATCAAAGTTTCGAGTAGTACCCACATATTAAAAATGGTATATGAAGGATAACATTATGGATAATTAGAAACTAAATTTAAAATTAAATATGCACATGACTTTTTAAAAATAATTTTCACCATTGAAGCTTATTCTTATTCAAATGACAATAATCAAATGAATCTTGAAAACTTTATCAGCACCATTCCCTTTGTACTTAGTTGACTTTTCCTCTTATGTGTAAGAGGGTGTATATATTATATATTTAGGTAACTAACTGCAGTTGGATAGCTGACGGTTAACGTTTCAGAGGGGTGAGCACGCTTGTTTAGAGTTCTAAGCCCTACGCGATAACGAAGCTTTGTCGTTCAGAGGGGTAGCTGCTACGAGCTCGACCATTGTTAAGGGATATGTTGGTAGGTGTTGGTACCTACAGTTAGGCTGCTGCCCTTGTACCTGTAGATACTGTAACAGGGTGGATGACTTCAAGAGAATTAAGTATGGGCGGGGTCAACGAGGGTTCACGGCGATTCCTTACTGGGTAGTGTGATAAGCAGCAAATTTACGCAATGCCAGATAAAACGAATGCATTCATACATCCCTTCAGGTCCCACTCAGAGGATTCAAAGGGTTATTTTTCTTTATGAATGTGCATGGGAAGTCTATGGCGCTTTTATAAATTCGGTTTGAACTGTTTAAACTTAAGTTGAAAAACTTTGTCGAAGGCAGGATCTTGAGGACGTTAGATAATAATAGGATAGATTTAAATAAGATAAGCGGAGGTAGAAGGAATTAATTGATGAAAATTGTCTTTCTTGTTCGTATAAGAACCTTATGTATTTATTACTTTATTTACAGCCAGTCCAAAAATAATAGTGCTCTTGTTATTCTTGGTTGCGTCGCGTAGAAACTTATTGGGAAAGAAAGTCAATAAGAAGAGAAGATGGTCGTTTACGCGTTAAAATCACAACGGCAAAAACCATTAAAGAAAAGGTGTCGCTAACGATCGTCGATGACGACGTCGTGGCACTTAAAATTTACAGATAGAGTTTGCAACTTCCGGTCACGTATATCGTGAAACTCCTCTTCCGGTTCGCAATACGTCGACATTCGCCAGGTCTCTAATTGAAAAATATTTTACACGATAGAAGCATCCCTTCCGACCTTGTGCTAAAAGTCTGCCGGGGTGAACGTTCAGTTTTTGTACAGATCAAGTTTTAAGAATTGCGTCGGATTGTTAAGCAATCTGACAGGAGGAAATTTTATCTGTAATCATATAAAAATTGCTGATGGGTACAATCAGTACGAAATATTTCCCCGTGTCGGATTGCGTTTATGTATATATATATATTTTTCCTTTTGTTTCTTTTTTGTTTTCTTAAACTTTAATAACTGTTTTGTAGCTTTATACACACTTCTTATGTACACGATTATTCCTCGACATTGCACGCATTCCCAATTTTTGATTAAAAACAGTCGTTTATTAGCGTTAACTAAATGTACAAAAAAAAAGAAAGAAAAAAAAAGATGGCAGCCATGGATGCCTGGAAATTCGTCCCGTCGTTTTACAAGAAGCTCGTTTCATGGGATTTGAAATATAAACTTCCCCTTATTGGCGATACGGTATCGTACAATCATTCTCTCTCTGTCTATCACACTCCCATTTTCTCTCTCTCTCTCTCTCTCTCTCTCTCTCTCTCTCTCTCTCTCGTACCATTTGTATCGCAATCTCTATGTATATGTACATACAGCATATGTATATCGTGCCAGCGGCTCGTAGATCTTTACATAATTTACATAGTTTACGTAGCCGAACGATCAATCCCTCTAAATGTCTATTTGTCTAACTGTTTTCCTATTCAGCCAATTGTCCAATTATCGATCGTCCCCTTTATCTCCAGCTGATAACCTGGCTACTTGTCGCACCGTAATATCATTATACTAATAATATAAACCAACGTAATCGATCCGCAAATTCGAATGACGTTTCAAAAATAATATTCAGGCTAAGAATTTCCGCTTTCGTTTCGCTCCTGTATAACCTGATCGGCCTGCAAGCTCCTGTTGACGCAATCACGAACAGCTTCCAGAACCAGGCCGACTCTTCTGTCCAGAGCTTTTAAATGTGGTTCCCACAAAATGGGATAAACGGGATCGTTGCTCATGCTCGCCCTCATTGCAGCACTGAGACGCACTGGACCATTATGGAATCTGCAACGGAAATAACAATTGTTAGCCTCTGTTAAACCCTATTCGGTTCATCAACGTTATTGACATTTCGTAACTTTATGCATTGCCTGAAAGCCACCATTATCGTTATTAAGGAAATGAATATAGGGTTAAATTTATACGTGGGTATTTCTCAGCGAGTGTTTATATAGAACCATTAAGGCTGCTGTTCAACTATTCTACGTGTGTACACGTATGCGGTGCGATGACGTCAGAAGCGAGGAAACCTTTACAACCATTTTTTTTCCTCTTGTGTTTATTCAGTTATTCGTCTAACTATTGATTCAGTCGCCTATCCTTATATGTCACGGGAGTCGGGTAATCTGTGTGCGGGTGTGTCAAAAATTGCAATTTAAAAAAATTTCGTAAAATTAAGCAAGTGCAGTGGTGGCCGCCATGAGGATTTGACAGTTCTATTTCCTTTTTAGGCATTGTCCTTGAAGACAAGATTTTTGTGATTTTTCTTAATTTTAAATTCAGATGCCGAGTCTTCCTCGTGTATAGAAGGTGGCTAAGTTAATAACGCATCAAAGTAGATGAAAACAAAAGTGAAATATGGTTGTTAAGTACTCATTTTTCTTTGTCGACCTCGTCATTACGTTTACGTGTGTATACACAGATCTAGCTGAACAGCAGCCTTAACAAACAAAACGTCTATTCTCTAATGCGAATAGATTCTAGTACAAAGATATATAGTGTAGTTGCAATTGGACGGAAGAGCTTGAACGTTATTACCATTGAATGACAGTAGTGGAATAAAAGGCTGGCGGGATTAGCTAGACACAACCAGAGTTGAATGTGAATATCCTTGGGGCATGCAACAAGGCCGCAACATGCGATTCGGATATCGCATTAAAAAGCCTATACCGTGTTATCCGAATAAAGCCCCGGCGGAAATTCAATTCGTCGATGGCCTACACGACTGGGCTTCTTGTAGAAAAATTGGTTGAAGAACAAATATAGGCGTGGAGTGAAATATTAAAAAAAAAACCAATATGAAATTTGACCTTTGAAAAATTCAAAATTACATAGCGAACTACAGAGTAACAATACACTGTCTTATTATTAAAAATTCACCAATTTTTTTTAGTACCCCGTACAGTATGATATACAGATGTTGCCTATGATATGCGAATAAACATATTGTAAAAGGAATATTGAATTGGTCAGAATTTGTATTCATTGGGTGCTATGCACGTTCAGAAATCTATAGGATCTTACTGTCAAGATAGAACAATTTTTGGAACTCTAGAGTAAGAATAATTTTTTCGAAACTATTGAAAATACGAAATTGGCCAATAACGATCGGGCACTGTACCAGCTTCCGAATGACACTTATCTCTAAGCCTAAGAGTTCATAAATTCTACTTCGGTTATAGGAAGGGTCGCGGTCGTTCCTGACGGAGAGCACTGAATAAGGTATCGCGTTAAATAGATACGAAGTGGATATATTCCTGAATTCACGTGGTTGAGTAGATGTCGATGGAGTGTGCTCTACTCAAAGTATAGCCATCCTATCTACCTACCAACCGCCCCCTCCGAGTACTCAGGGCTACTCGAGTATGAGAAAACCTAGGAGTACACTTAGTGAAAGCGAACGATTTCATGGCGGCTAGGAAAGTAGCAGTGAATCACAACCAGAAGGATTCCCAATGGCTGGATTCGCACATTGACATTTATATCCATCTAGATGGGTAACTTCTAGAGAAGAAATGGCCAGTGATTTTCTGCTCCCTTAAATTCACTTTAATTCACTTGCCAAGAGATCTAGCCTATCCCTCTCAGTCCCTATCTTCTATGCCGCATTGTAATTCTAGTGAAAATACAATTTTCTCTAGGAAAATAGCTCTAGGGCTACCACCAGCTGTAACTACCATTCAACCCTGAACCTGAACGCACTCCATTTAGTAAGGTTGACGCTCGATTACTCAATGACCAGCGGAGACCGTGGAGAGAATGTTAATGAGATACGCGTGCATTTCCTGCCGTTTTTCACGTTCCATTAAACCCTTAGCTATTCGATAGGCATATACATACCAACGAGAAGTATTCTGCTAAACGGCCATTTTTCTCATTAGCAAGAATACGTTAAGGGTACGGGGGTTCGGATCTAGTGGAATATTGAACGTTGAAATTTCCCTAGGAAGACTTCAGTGAAATTTCTTAAGTGATGTAACTAGATTAATAAGAACATTCTTAAGAGAGTACGAAGAACATAATTTCGAAGAAAAATAAAGAAATTCCAAGTGTTGTAACGCGAGTGTATTGATCCGGAAGAATATTTTTCTTGGGTATACTAAAGAATGACCGGAAGTGGAATTGCAGCTGGAAATAGCCACAGACAACGATTATCTTATAACGTCTTGGTTAATGGATGACGGCCATGCTGCTTCAATATACTTGATGCTGACTTCAATTCCAGGCCTGATGACCTGCTTGCGAACGTAGCTTCCGGTTTGAAGTAGGAATCAAGATTTTCAAGATGCACCAGAGGTATCCTGGGGTATTTCCCTGATCACCACTGAACAGACTATCAATCTTCGAGATTACAGAGCTGTGTGGATGGATTATATAAAATTTATTCTCAAACAAGAAACCAGGAATTGTTAGTAAGACTCATGGATAAATAAAAAACAATACTTTGAATACTCAGTGACTATTTTTAGTTCATATAAAAAAAAAAAAACTAATAATCAAATTTCAAAAATCTCAAATACTTACTTCAGCAGAGTGGCCAGTGTGCTCTGTCTTATCGTACAGCACTGTAAGAGTGGGGCCAAAATGGAGGTCTCGTCGTGAAAAGGTCTTCCAAAGCCTCTACCTTGATCCAAATGAAGCGTAAAGGTATCATTGCCAAATATCTTAAACGTCTCGTAATGATGTCTGTCCATGTTGCCAATAAGAAAATCAAAAACGGCCATGTCCATCAAGTCCAGTAGCCTACGACCCTCGTCGTAAGGAGGAATGGCCCTGACCAGGGAACAGTAATCGGAATCTATAAAAAGAAAAAAATGGTCAGGAACACGTACGCAATTGTTCAATGAAAAACTTGTATTTCTTACTTGTACAAATTTTCAAAACACCTACCCTGCTCCCACTGTGCCTTCCTACGTTTGTGATAACTCCTGCGCCAAGGGTGTCGCCATACTTTTCTCGCAGCCAATTCACGACTTGGTAAGAACGCTGCAAAGCTACCCTCAAGACTATCCGGATTTCCACATATCGCATGAGCAGTGTCGCAGTAGTAGCTGCACTTCCCATGAAAGCAAAGGTTACCCACGGGACTGACGAAGAACGTCTTGAGTAGTTCGCTGTCCGCGACCTCATAGATTTCCGTTGTCACATTCAGGAGACGTCCTGTCACCGGCATGGTCCTTCGAAACCCAAGGAGTCTGTCGGAAGAAAAAAGCAAATGGATATTAAAGAAAAAAAGAAAAAAAAAGTCCCTAGGGACTCCAGCTTGGTAATATCCCCCAAAAAAATAAATTCTAACCCCAATTTCCCGAATCGACTGATACACCTGACAAGACCGTCCTCCAAAATGATTCTCAAAGACCTTTATTTAAATAAAAAAAAAAACCAATAAACAAGAAATTTGCTTACCTGTCAAGATGAAAGGATGCGATCTCGGACGTGTGACGTTCGAAATCCGTAAAGTAAAAATGATTCGGCAACGTCTGCTGCTCCCGTGGGAATCTGAAAGATAAAAGATTTTATGTAAAAACTTTCCACGAATTACGCCCCTGGACAGGGGCGAAGGGGGCGGATTCGTTAATCGAGAAGGATAATGACGGTAATTAAAAGTGAAAGAATTAACGTACGTAGTTAAGCATTTGGGATAATAGCACAATATATTCATAAGATCCCTATCCGTATATAGTATGTATAAGTATACACAGTAAAGGGAAAATACGGGGTTGTTTATCGTTCCCTACGGTGTGATACAAGTCGGAAAAGAAATTCATCGTAATATATTTATTTAATAACAGGCATTCTCTCCCGGCGTTTCACGGGTACACGTAGGTCCCCGCCGATACCTTGGTCCACGTACCACCCGGTATACCATCAGGATACAATAACTGTCCAAAGGTGATGGCACATTCATCACTCGACGCTGACACGAAAACGTGGACGTCCTTGGCAAGTAGCGTCGGATAGGTCGGCCATGTTTTCTCGTAAAAAGATAAATTGCGTTATTAGTACCAGCAATAGGTAAAAGCTACCACATGTAGCTGCCATTAACGTTAGCCCTTAGGCCCATCGGCGCGTAAAGGATCTGTTAAGAGTAGGGAGGGGGTTGAAGAACAAATTCCTTTTAGTAGTGTTAAATTTTTTTTTTTTTTTTTTTGAGGGGGTCAGCTTGCACGAACAGAGGGTTGAAAATAATTCTAGAGGGTAAGCGGGACGCTTTACTTTGGTATAAAGGAAAATCCTTCGAGCACGATTTACCCACTGAATTTTACGAAGCCACGACAGTCGAGTCGATGGCTAATAAAGTCTCGGGTAAAGTCATTGTAAAATCGTGGCCCGAACGGAGGTGGGATTTGAATAGGGTAGCAGATCGACTTTGAGCTTTCTAGCTTCTATGAATATTCGGGTGAAAACGCGTATACAGGAATTTTAAGGGTGGCCTCGAAATCGACGCCCGGCGTCGTTCACCCTTCCTCCCCTCTCCTCTTTCTCTTACGTCACGACGCTTACTTCTTCGTTGTAGCTCGCGATAAAGTCGTCCGTGCAATTTTCCCCACGATTTTCCACGATGGCTCCTCTCGACGAGAGAGGACGATACCGTGGAGAGGGGGCGGGCGTCGGTGTGAGACGGCGTCCCGACGCCTCCTATTTTCTCCTGGTACGGGCCCCTCTGATTCTCTGCTTTCATCTTACTTTTACTTCCACGTCTGTATGTATACCGTGGACCCGGGCCCCATTCTCTCGTAATGCCACTCTAGGCGGACGAGAAGTCGGGTTTAATGAAAACTCACCCTAAAACGGCCGCTACCCTAGATAAGGAATCCAAGTGGGGTTTGTAGGTAGATTGTTGCCGCGTTCCGCTATAGAGAAAGCTTGGCGATCTTTGCCGTGTGTATAGCTATATGTATACCAGCTTGCGGCGCCGTACAGGTTTTTAAAAGTAAAATTCACGGGTCATTGCTTCCAAAAATAAAGCTCGAGTTAGAGTCCCGGGGCTTTGGAAGAATTTAAAAAAAATATATTTTCGGTATAATTTTGGGGTTGAGCAAAAATTTTCTTTATCGACTAACAACCAGGCAGAGACAGACAATTGATAACTGGGTTGCACCGGATAATTAATACTGCGAATTTCTTCACCCTTCGTTCTCCCTTCATCACCCGCAATCCACTATTCAACTCGGAGCCATGATCCTGTACCATCCACAAACAGTCTCTCTTTCGTCTCATAATTAGTCGGTAATTTGCATCTGATTAAAAGTTAACCGACGTCTCCTCGGACACTCATAAAAGACCCCGACGACGTTGACGAAGAGATTATACAGTTAATTATGTTTACTTTGGGGGGGGGG